GAGCTGGAGTCTGTCAATTTCAGGCTTTGGAGAGTCATTTATCTTCCATTGAGAAAAACAGTATCAGTGCTGCTGCTCTCATCTGCACCGCCTGTGTCTCTACTATTCAGAACCCAGTCTGTTCAGATGAGGAGACAGAAAGCTCATGGCTCTTATTCATCAAACAAAAGCATTACTGTGAGAATGTTAGCCAACCAAAAGACATTGTAATTAATTAATACTTTAACAGTATGCTTTATTGTACAGTGGAGTGCAAATGTTACCATTGGCCGTTTTTAAAAAAAGAAAGAAAATGTTATATATAAAAAGATGAATAAATTCTTAAAATAATTAAGAAATATTTTAGTTTTTTAATGTATTTTTAGGTCATTAATCCAATAATCAAATTATAATGTTGATCATGTGAACTCCACATGATGTACAGATTTTCTTGCATCCATTGTAGCACAAGATTTTTGAAAATTCTCATGCTGGAGAACATGATCATCAGGTTTTACAAATACTAATAAATTGTAAAATTCATGTAATTTTTCTACAATTCTTAGCTTTTTAAATTAGTAGTATTAATTATTTCCTAAGCTATTTTTAAAGATTCATTTTCTAATTTATATAAATGTTCACTCAAATTTGTTTCTGATAATGTCATTTATATTTAAGGAAATATTTTATACGATTTATACATTTTTACCATTGTATAACACATTTTCATAAAAGATGGATTGGTAATGATCTTTAATATATACAGTAAACATGATGTTTTTACTACAGTTTCCCTGCAATAAAATGCCAACGTACATATTAAAGGAACACAGGACTCGTTGGAAAGTCCCCTCATACATTCTTATTAGTTTAAAGGAAAATTGACATGGTTTAATGATTTATTGGATTATCCAGTGATGCATTTGGTAATAAGAGTGACTGCAAACTTTTACGTCAGTACAAAAGCAACATTCGTTTACTGAGAGGCATTTGATACTCTCAAACAATGAACAACCTTCATTCCTGCTCTTGTTTTCATGGTGGCGCCATGCAAATTTGTGTTTCATTGAAGTCTGGTGATTGATGATGTCTCCTCACACAGGCATCTTCAATAATTGTGTTCTTCTTGTTAAGGAAGTGACTTGTGATTGGCTACACTGTGCACATACATCTTTAGCAAATGAAATAAAAACAATCAATAGCACCTTATCTGAAGAATATGGAGATTTCATCTAGAATTCATCTGGCTTTTCTTTGATCAGTTTGGCATAAATTCATTCATTCATTCATACTGCAGGAATCTGGACATTAACGCTTGGCAGCTACTCTAGGTTCTATTCTAGGTTTTACTTTAGATGTTTAGAATGAAATTGTGAAAAAAAAAACATGAAAATGCAATGGGAAAAGCCTTTCCCTACTACAAGGGCTCTTGACAAACAAGAAATGTACTTTGAACACAAATACCCTCTTTGGACAAGCCTTCTGTGGTAATCCCAACACAGCACTGGCCGCATATGATCATTGGATCGGGCCTGTCCTGTAATCCGACTGAGTCACCCGGCTGCATTGTCTAAAAAAAAAAAAAAAAGCATAACATGACTGTGATGAGTAAGTCAACTCATCATTGTGTTTTTGACTTTGGTACATGGGCAAATGTTGAATGTCATGAGTGTTTTTTGTTTTTTTTTGTCTTTGAGAAGTAGATTATCTACAACTGAGATGTTCCTCAGAGCGCATGCAGGCCTGTAATGACTGCTGGTGTTGGTTTGCAGCTGTACAGCCTGAGGCAGAAATGACAATGGCAGTTTAATCTGTTTCTTACCTTCTCCTTTGTGTTTTTAGCAGCTCTATTTTCAGACGAGATTGTGGAATGTAGAAGTTATAGAGCAAATCCTAGAATTATTTATGTGGTCTTACTAAAGAGAGTATTAACATAATACAATCTCAGACCTTTTCCCTTGAGCAGGGCCTCACATAATACCACACATTCGTTTAATTCTGTTACCATTTAAATTTGTTACAGCTGCCATAAAGAGATCATCCACCTTATTTTTAAAGTATGAGGCCATTTGTAACTTTAATGTGCGAGGCTTCCGGTGTCATCCGCTTCAGTTATTTTAGCTGTACAAAGAGAGTCTGTTATGCTGCTTGATTATGCAAACTGGTATTTGACATTATTATTGTAATCATAAACACTGGTTTGCAGCACAAATAATTTTGCCTATTCACAGAAAATAGCTTATTTCATGTTGTAAAATAAGGTGGACAGACACCATTATGTTTGAAGAAAGGTCAGACTTTGCATGCTATGTGCATTACAGAACACAACCAGTATGCATTTGATTCAATATGATGTCCCTCATGCATGCAAATTATATATTTTTGTCAATATACGTTATGATGCCAAAAGCATGCCAAGAATCGAGACTGAACTATTTGCCTTCGTTCTGTTTCTCCAGTGTCTTTGTGAACTCCTCTTGCTCTGCTATTTACTGTTCATTTCAACCTGTAGTAAAATGATCCTTATCTCGTGGCTCTGCATACCAGCGAGACCCTGCACCTCCATTACATGAAATCTGACCCCACAGGAGGAGGTTGTAATTATGGCTGAACGGCTGATTTTAGATTTAAACTTCAAGCGGAATCCAGTCATGCACAAAATTTGTACATGGTGCTGATGCTCTTTTCTTCATCCCTGTCAGGCCGTTCCAGTGATATCTGACATGCTGTGTGGACACCATCTCAGCCTGTCAGGCGGGAAACCCATGTGTGGAGATGGAGGAGAAAATTGTCAATTTTTTATTACAGAGCAAACTCTAAACATTTCAGATCTGTTTGAATTTGGGTCTGTTTATCAAGCTAGATTTTTGTATTGTGTCCTATTGTACTTACATTCAGAGACATAGGAGTTGTACAGTGAGTAAACCACATGAAAACACTGTATTTACATGGCATGATCTACTCCTGCCATCAATCTCTCTGCACTTCCCTAAAACGGCAGACTGCTGTCGAAATCCGCTCGCTACCCCAGGTGAAAAAGACGTAGTATTAAATGTATCAAAAATATACTTGAAATTCAAGTAGTATGTTTATAATACATTTGTTTAATATGCACTTAGTATAGTATAATTTAAATATAGTAAGTATGTCTGAAAAAGCACAATTTAAATATATTTCTTTTTCACCTGGGACAAATCAAACTCTCATCCTGTGTGTGCAAAGATTCTCTGCTTTGAAGTTGATCTTTAGTCACAGGCTTTTAAGTAGCTACAATGGATTTATTTACACTTTAACTTAATGTTTTTAGGGCCCCAGAGTTTTTCCAGAGGAAGTCAGTTGTCTTCAAAACACCACATTTTTAATTTTTTAACTATATTTATTATTTAAAATACAAATATTTAAAAACAATTATTTATTATCAATTATTAAAATTTATGTTTTGAAAAAATGCCTAAAAGTGTCAACAGCTTGTTTTATTGTTTTACTGATTTCTGCATGCCACATATCTTCATTCCTCAAGCGCATGTCACTTTTCATCAGACTCTCTGTCTTTAAGTTGGTAATTGTTGCCTTGGGGAAACATTTTGGATTTTTGTGGCATGGAGCATTTTACAACCTATTCATGGCATCAGTGCATATAATATTTGGTTTAGCACATAATTAGTTAATAACAAGTTGAGCAAGGCATATTTACTGCATGCATACATGATATAGTAATGTGTGAGGTCGATGCTTTTAATCAAAGTGATTCACTGTGCACTAATTAAAGAGACAGTCCTCTTGAAGCTACCTGGGGTTTAGGGTCTTGCTCAAAGGCACAGCAGTGACAGGGGGGTCTGTGATGCTCCCCGCTTTACGGGTCACCCCCCGCACAGCTTTTAACTCGTCCTCACAAATAATGTTTGCTTGCAGGTTTACGTGACCCAGGAGATACCAACTTGGACGCCATCAAAGACAATAGCTTGAGCTCGATATTAATACACTTACTGCAGGTAGATCTGTTGCTCTTTTTACTAACAGAATCACTTATGTAAATGTGAATTATCTGGCCATAGATCTGTTATCTTCCTAGATAGGGTACTTTTCCTCCAGGGTAAAAGACCTAGTTAGTATTTCTCCCAAAACAGTAAATAGCAACAAACCAAAACTAAATCAAAGCATTTTCCTGATTGCTTGTTTGCCATTATGGTCAATTTTCCTGATCCAGAGGTCATGTGCAGTCACTGAAGATTGATTTTCAGGTCAATTTAATATAATATTTAGTCATTTTTAAAATGTTGCAGATTTATGTAGCCAATGAGAATCTCTGAAAGTGTCACATATATTTTTAGACAAAAAAATGTTTTTATTCAAGGTGGTTCTATACACTTTGCCCCATGCGTAAGGGGCCTTTTACCATACATGTGTCATGATTTTAAATCACAACAAACTTTCTTTACCATTTCTTTTTACAAACATTTTGTGTCTCCATTAATATTCAGTAGAAAGAAGAATATTTTTGACTGTCAAGCTCCATTCTACCCTTGTGAAGAAATTAATCATTTCAGATAAGACGTTACAAAAAAAATATATGAATGCTGGATTGCAACCATTTATAAGCCTCTTTTTGTCAACAATTAAGCTATTTGGTTTAATTTGACATTTCACAGTCATTTACCGTGTTTTATCACCAGCAGAGGGCCAACTTAAAAAGGCTTTAAAATAGAACCATCGACTGAACGTTTTCCTGACAGATGAAATGTGGATTTATCTTAAAGTAGGATAAAAATGGATGCAGTGGATATAATTAGCTATAGGCTTATAATGTAAAGCTTATAACTCATCTACTTTACCAGATATTTTAGCCAAGGCTCCAGGTAGTGTGAATAAAACCCAGTACACTAGGTGTGTGTGTGTGTGTGTGTGTGTGTGTGTGTGTCTCTGTGTGTGTGTGGATCCATCGGGACGCGCCTCCTCTCGACCTCTGATAGGCGCAGCCGAGCGTCGCATCCGCCTTTTAGGAACCTTTGAGTTCACAGGGATTCAGCTCGGTCGTATCATGGGTACAGACAACTGAAAGGACACTATTGATATACATGACTCTCTTCGGTTCTTGCCATACAGGGATAAATCTGCCGTGCTAAAAGTTTGACTACAGTCGTTTGAATCATTTTCGGTAAGTAGCCGTAATCTTTTTATTTGACCTGCTGCGATTGGATTAATGCATGACAGAGCACCCCCTTTAAAATCTGAACAAATGTCATGTTTTCATCTCTAGAAGAGCGCTTTTTTGGTGTAAAATGAATTTCATTCACACCACCTCATGATCCAAACCACAGCAGAAAGATAGTAAACATAGTAAATAACAGCGGCAGCTTGTTTGACAGCGTTGCGTCAAAACTAGAACGCTTGCATTATAATCAATTAGACTGAAGCGCACGCTTGCGCTACACGCTTCCGATTATAATGGTGATTTACGTTCTAAAAATGTTAGGGATTTTAACGAAAAATAATGTTAAAAAATTGATAGAAAAAACATTGATTGAGATGACAGAACCATTACCTTACCATAGGCTGCTACACGGTAAAATAGGCTACGTTGTATAATAATGTATAATACATAATTATAATGTTAAATATTGTAACCATGTCTGTGGATTATAATGTATGGCTTTAAGAATGCAATATGTATATTTTATTGGTAAAAAATAATATTTGACCAATAATTTATTTATGGGGAATGGGGCAGTCCCAGAATTCCCTTCATATTTGTTTAGAATTGAAGTTCGTATCTTCTTATGTATGTAATCTGCTATGTAAACATGTGAGTGTTGTGAGTGATTTGTGTTGCCTTATATGTTATTTAGTTAATGTTGTATGCTAGCCTGATGTGTTTTGTCTTTGTGTGAATAACACTGTGCTCTGTATTTACATTATCTTCGATTACTGTTGCTGAAGAGGCATTTTGATGAACTATAAATTATCATGTGGCCATTTATTGTCCTCCTGTTTCATTCCAGTAAAATTTACAGTGACAAAAAGATTAAAATAGCTTAAATAGGTCTATATATTACCATTATATAGTTTAGTTACGTATAGAAACGTATAGTACAACTGTAAAATATCCTTTCACAAAAAGATATAAAAAAAGTTTTTTTCATTTATATATATATATTATAGTGTAGTTTGTTGCTTAACAATATAGATGTGGGTTTTACATTTAGCCTAGATTAGTTAGGAGTGCAAAAGTAAGACACAATGCCATTTTCAAAGGTCAAACAAAATGGTCATCCTGTCAAAAGTCATCATTGATATTTTACATTATATAAGTTCAATTAAACATACAAAGGGGTTGAAATTCAGCTCACTGTAAATTGCACTCTTAAATCTGTTCATATCTTTAACACAGTGCTGGCCAAAAAAGCAAGTTATATTCCATTCTCATTAAATGTGTGTATTTTGATGTTCTGTCAAAAGCAAGTGGTGACCTGTCATTCATTGCATTTATAAAAGGTCAGGAATGACCCTCCCTGCCCACCCTGATTTTATGCCATGTTCAGTGTCATGCATTTGCACTATATTATATGGAATCAGCAATGAAGCGCTCTTACATCTACCAGTGTGAATACATGCACGACAATGGATCTATAATATTTCATTTTAAAATATGCAGCAGGTGCATGGATGCAGCAGTGCATGTTATTTTTAGGAACGAGGCAGATTTTATTTGATATGGGTCGATCCCTTGGCTTGATGGAGCGTTGTGTGCAGCTTTGTGTTTGTCATGCTTGTAGGAGTGGTTAATTCAGTGTGTACGTATACATTGCTTCTTTCCATTTGTTCTCTGCATATCCAATACAAATACGTAGGCTGCTTATTATACAGTATGTAATACAAACATTTATTGATTAATGTTTTTTGGCTCACAGTCAATGTCTAATATTGACCGACCATGAGAATCTCTTCTTCTCATTCCAATGACCTTTTTATGAACGTGCCCGGACTGTTGTTTTTCTCTTTGTAGAGCCGATGCTTAATCTCATTAAGTTGTAATGCACCTGCGTGGGGCTGGAGAAGATAAACGACTCCATGCTCATTTACACAGTGAGATTTTTCAGCGCAGAAAATAGTCTGAAGCGCTTTTTATCTGTAGTCTGTGCAGGGGTTGTGTGAGTACAGACTCAACACAGGCAGCCAAGGACGCAACGGGAAGGAAGACTGCAAAATATTCTCACTTAGCAGGCAGTGAGAGGAAATCCATTGAGTTACTTATGAGCCAAGCTTCCTTTGATATCAGACAGGAGAAAACATTTCAGCTGTGGTGGAAAGCCCTTTTCTTACTGGTAAAACCCTGATGACATCACAGTGGCAGACAATTTCAGACAATGCAAAGTGAAAGTTCTGTTGTAAAGCATAGACTTGTACTGACATTCTCTTCACCTTCAAATATTTTATGTTTAATTAATTTTATTACGTGTTTTTGATCATTTATACTTAGTATTAGATTATAAAGTTTGAAATAATGTTATCATTTATCATTTAAATGTTAAATAAGCATCGCTTTTTATTTCTCCTCTTTCTTACTACTTGTTTCACTTCTGTTTCAGTTTTTTTTATAACAATTTCTTACTATGTGTCAGTAAGTTGTTGTTATTTTAGCATCTGTGTTTGGCTCAGTGTTATTTTTTTAGGATTACTGATAAACTAATGTAGTTTGATTTGTATTAGTTATCTATTTTAGTTTTAGTTACAGTTGTTGTAATGTTGTCATTTTATTAGTTTTTTATTATGACTATAAATTTTTTATTAAGTTTTAGTTTTATTTAATTTGAGTTATTTCAGTACTCAATATATATATTGAATGTATTTATATATATGTACATGTATATGTATATGTGTGTGGCTGTACATACACATATGTAGTTGTTTTTTGGTGTTTGGCTTAGTGTTATGTTAGAATAATTATTATACTCATACCTTTTGTTCTTTTAATATTTTGAATTGTTTTTAGCTTTATTTTTTTGTTTTCATTTAAATGTTTAGTTTTCAAAATGTTGTTGTATGCATTTGTCATTTTTATTTAATTTCTTTTATTTTCTTAAATGTGTATATATATATATAATATTTATAGAGTTTTAGATTTTAGTTTTAATTACTTTTTCTTATTTGTAAGTCGCTTTGGGTAAAAGTAAAGTAAAAAAGTAAATATATATATAGTGTATACTGTATGTAGATAATAACCATAACTGAGATTAATATATGATGTGAATGTATTAGTTTATGTATATAATTAACTATTGCATAATGTTGATCTAGCTCATACAAGTGTTACCAGTACTGGTTTAAAATCATATAGTACATCTGTAAAGCAATTTTCAGTGTTAAATACGCTAAAGCCTATAGTCTCGTCCAGTCAGGGGCAAAGGAAATGCATTGTCTCCTGCAAACATGCATAGGAAGAATGGAATTATAGAGTGATGTGTGTCTAAAGCCCATCTGTGGACGGTCTGATTTTGTGGTGTTGCTGCAGTCTTGGTTGAAGGGACTCGGTCAGAACAATGAATTCAAGAAGAAAATGTTTAAGAAATGAAAGGGTCCTCACCAGCGTGAAAAATGCATTTGTCTTCGTTTTTAAAATCCCAGTGCCCGCATATGATTTATCATCCATTAGTTCTCCTGGGTTCACTTTATCTGGATGGGGGTGGTGTAACTCAAGACCATCTCACGCATAGGCTTATATGCTATTTTCTGTAAATATAAACTGAAGAGATTTGCTTCATGAGCTGTTTGTAAAGCAGTGAAGATTAGTAAATATGAGATACAGACTGTAGTTGTAGTTTGTGTTATAAAATAGGTGCTCAGGCATGTTTTAATTTTCAGAAAAGGGTCAGACTTCTTTTACGATTAATTAAATGTGCAGCTAATTAGCAAGTTCTAAGTGCAAGACTTTACTGAAACATTTACAGCAGTATATAGTGACTGAAAGAGTGACAGAAAGAGAAACAAGAGTGCAGAGCTGTTTTGCAATATACATTATTATTATTATTATTATCATCATCATTATTATTATTATTACTCGTGTCACACAACCACAAGAGCCCAACACATTTTCAACAGCGTAGAAAATCCCCCGAAGTGTCCATCTGTCCATTAAACAATAATACTGCGAGAAACTTGTTTCATTCTGTTGATACTTCTGAAAAGGTTTTTAATCAAGTAGATCCAAATGTAAATGGAAATTAATCTTAAGCATCTTATTTAGTTTTAATTTTGAATGACTAAACCTGGTTCTCGCCGTGAACATAACCAGAGGAAGGAAGAAAAACCCCCGACAGCAGAACTTGGATTTAGTTTTAGTCATATTTTAGACATCCGAGCTGTTTTAGTTTTAGACTACAGACTAAATATCATAATATTTGTGACCCTCTCTGTGAAATCCAGGCTAAAGTCTCAAAATTATCATTTTGAGCCATTTATTTCACTATGATTTCAATCTTTGACATGGTCTAACTCAGCTAGTATTAAAGATATCAAGGTTACATTTTCACAGAATGTTCTTTACCTTATGAAGGAAGATTTTATGTAGAAAACAGTTGATCACAAAAAAATGACTTTAGCTGGGTTTTCACAGACAGGGTCACATTTTTTTATGCAAATACATATCCACAACTGGCCTGAAACTCTCGCACACTGACTCTGTTCAATAATTATTCAGCCCTGTTAATAACTCTGCTTTGAAGAGTGATGGAGAAATCTGACATCTTGTTAGTTAGGGTTTGATGGATTAGCTTTACCTGCCAACCAGTTTGTGGATTCCACTCTGTCTGTGTGGATACTTTCCCTTATAGACACTTGTGACAGGAAGGCCCACATATTTGCATGTCCTCTGACCCCAAGAAACAGTTGAACACCTGATAACATGTTAGAGCCGGGGCAGGTGTTTCTCCAGATGGCCAGCCGAGAAACTGAAAGTTGTTATTTGAGACCTTCTAATGACAAGGGTATGGAAGCATTTAGAGTTATATGGGTCTTTATTACTGATGTATGAGGGTGGTTTTCTGACGGCATGATGCAGGCTGCAGGAATGTCACGGGAATGTTAGATCTGGTCGTTGTGGAGTGTTTTGAATCTCTTGGATCATGTTAATGGATTGCATTACATTTAATGATGTTACTG